CCTAAATTTATTAATTGATTAAGTGCGTTTCCCACGACGTTATTATTTGTATTGTCAAAAATCCTATGTCTGGCGTTAAAGTCTCCTAAGATGTACATCGGATGACTATTGTTAGCCAATTTTAATAGGTCTTCTATAGGTAAGTAGTAGCAATAATTACGTCTCCTTGAGTTGTATTTATTTTTATTGCTAGAAATTCATCCTGGAAGTCATCAATTAGTTTAAATTTTAAGTTTCTTTTAACCGCTATCGCTTCTCCGTCATTTTTCTCGCCCGATTTATTTCTTTGGTTTACATAATAGTTAAAGAGTTTTATGTTGTTGTTTTCTGTCTCACCGTGACTGTTTATTAGTATAATGTCAGGGTCAATTTCGCGATATATATTACTTAGGTTAATTCTCTCGGTCTTCCAGTTTCTTACGTTGTGTTGTATTAGTCTTAAAGTTCTTACTGTTTGTCTATTGTCCATTATTTCTTATACTTGGATTGTGGCAGTTGGAGTGGAGACCTATCATCCTGTTTCCCGCTTCTGACTCTTCTATACTCTGACGGGTCTACTATTTTAAAGTCTTTGGCCGTAATCTTTAGTTTGTCCGTAGTAATTAGTGACCAGACATAATCTTCACTTAGGGATTTTTCTTGATATGTCCACTTGTATATCCCTCCTTCACAGTTTTTTACTATTGTCCCTCCTGTTGGTCTCGATGTTGGGATTCCATGTTTTGTTGTGGTGATAACTTTTAATCCAATTTCTTCAGCAGATTCAGGTTGTATATTGTGATCAGTTTCCATCTTATCTTCTCTCCTCCTACTCCTTTGTCTGTCCTTTTGTTATTTCTATCTTCTCTTTGTCACTTCTAGTCATTTGTCTGGGATCTCTATCAGTCGCTTGTGTTACTTGTGTATCAGCTGTTGCTCCTTGCTCAAACCTTTGTTCGTCTTGATGTAGTCTTTCTCTCAGTTCGCTTGCATATGTTGTCTGAAATAGTTTTTCGGATTGTGGATTCTCTGGAAATATCATCTCTGGTAGGTTATTCAATTTAAACATTTTCCTTAATTCCTCATTGTATGATCCGATTTTTAATGATGTTGTGCAAATGTTGCATGGATCATACTAATCGTACCTTATCATGTATTGGCTCACTTAGGTTTAATACGGATTCCTGGTCCCTATAGGCCTCTTGGACGCTCTCTTTGCTATTTCGACATGTCATATCCTTCTTTTGTCTTGTTCCTTTTCGCTTGTTTTCTGTACTTTTATCATGTTTTTATTGGGCATGCCATTGCTAACGTCCTATGTCCTATGTATACATTCCCGTTTCTCTTACAGTTGAGACAACCTTGTGTGTATTCTTACATTCAGTGTAGAGTATGGTCGTCGCCTGCACAATCTGGTAGTCTTTTCTTTTTCCGGACAGTCTCTCGTTGTGTGTTCTTCATATTTGTAGCAGGAGAAGCAGGTTTGCAGACTGATGAATGTCTCCTTCTTTATTTGATGTGGTGTGACTGACATGTTGAATATTAGAAAGCCCTGTTGTAAAACTTTCTCAGCCATTGACACTTCTTCAAACATGAGTATAGTCCTTTATCTTAATGACTTCTTCAATCTTCATCCACCTATTTTGGCGTTCCAGTTCTTCTTTCAGGTCTTCCTCCCGATCTCTTGATCGACTTGACGAACAAAAACTGATCTTTTTGCTTTTGTTCTGGTGGCATGACAACAATAAGGCCTTCATTGTAAAATATATCTCTTGCTTCTTTTGAAAGGATTTTATCTGAATCAAAGTCATCTTTACAGATTACTTTAAAACCTTCATTGGTGCTGAATATTCTAGTTAGTGGGACTTGCAGTTTTGTTGTAAGTGATTTCTGCCACTTTTCCTCTTCCAATAGAGTGTCCCATATCTCTATGTTTTATTCTAATGCTTGTAGTCATCTTCCTTGATTACAGCCCAATCCTACCTATAACACAGGGCTCCTGCCTGGGAGCAGTGACCCCGCCACCCCCCCCCCTCTTGGACGGGCGTCGGGCTCGAAGGGTTCTGCGCCCAGGTTACCTGTGACTATAGTTATGTCTAAAAAGTTGCCACCTACCGGTGACGGACAGGGTGCCCTGCACTATCAGGTTCCCTTGCCGGATCGACGATATCATGATCCCTTACTCCCGTTCAAAGAACGGAGTGCATGAGGGGGATGAAAAAAGGAAAGAAGAGGACTTAGAGAGTAGAAACAGCCTACCTACCACGCCACGTTCGGTCAGCCAATCAGAGCACCGCAGTAAACGTGCATATATCACGCCACCGTGGGGCACCACTGATTGGCCAATCCAGGACGTAGACGCACGGGTAGTAGTCAAAATTTGGGTAGGCCAAATATTTGTTTTTTCCAAAGTTGGAATTTCCCGTACAATCTGTGATGGTAATTACACCGTCACTATGTTGAGTAAGTACAATCACTAGGATTGAGTGTCTTATCACAACAAAGTTGCAGACTCAAACAT